TATATATATAACAAGTTGATCTGCAGAACTGCTTTCAGAGTGCTCAATAGTGAACTAGAGCGTGTTATAATTGAGAACGGGGTGGTCAACTGAAGATTTGGCTTGGCATTTATTACCATTTAGTTTCGTACCACACAGCCTATATGTATATATATATATATATATATTTTTTTTGCACATTTTCGTATCATTTGGGATCTTTCCTATTGATTACCAGCAGGTGACTTCACGCTGACGCAGTAATTTGCTCTCAGACCTTTTAATGGAAAATAAACATGTCTTTTCATCTCACCTACATTATGTTAAAGTTGGTCGTGTCCTAATTACCGGTGTCGGTAAATAAATTTCGTCTTAGAATCATTGGCATGGCGAAAGTCTTATCACCATTTTGAATTTATTACTTTTCCAAGTCAATTAGTTTATCATTGGCTTTTGTTCTGGATGAGGCTTTAACTTCAAAACCATCAAGCAAATACTAGCTCAGCTCTGTCATTTTCAGACAGTAATTGACGTTAACTTTACAATTTCCGCCCAGCACTTACACATCCAGCTGCGGATTTTCAGAAGAGGTTTTAGGACGTTTGATGACTCATTTTCAGTGCAGCTCTTACCAAACTCATTATGAAACAAAAGAATAACCTTGCTAAAAAGGCATCGTATGCGGAAATTTGCAAGCATGCACTCATTTAGTAATGTCGATGGGGCTAAACAATATAGCAAAAAGGCACTTGTATACGTTATCAAGTTCCAACTAAGGAAATTTTAAAAGCACCAACGTTTTCAAGACGCGCAAGAGGACCAGTAATGGCTTGCTGTGACATTGACAAGTCAGCTGGGTAGCCCTCTTAGCATTTTTTAAACGGTATAGACGAAAGATCTTAGAAAATAAAGAAACATTTTCCATCTGAAAACCAGATGTACGAGTGCGTGACATAAGATGGATTTCGCACGTGACCAAGGATAATTGCTGAAATGAGCAGGGAAGATTCATATCATGCTCTCGAGAGAAACGAAATTTTCATGTCACTTTTCCTACGTAAATGAAAGGCTTTTTGGATTTCTGTTCGCGTATCTCGTGAGTATTTAAAAATGTAATAAACTGGAGGTGGTAGTGATACCTTTGCTGTGGTCTTTTTGGGTGATAGTTAGGAGCTGGACGGTGAAGCTGAGCGAACATCTGACAAGTAAGATGCATGGTGTTCTTTCTGAACTCTTCGATTTGATATTAAAAGATATTCAGTCGATGCTTTGCGTTACAACTTCTTTACCTCTGATGATAGAGCATGATGACCTTGTGACGTCACATTCTGAACGTCACGCTCTCCTTGTCTGGAATATTTTAAATGTCGATTACAGCAATCGTGCTACAGTTGATTCAGCTGATTTCAGCTCACTTTATGCAAGAATGAAACTTATGATAAATATTTCATGCTTATACCGCCGTTGTCGTTCAGAAAGTCTAATCTGTAGGTAAATCTGCCCACAAAGGAAGAGAATAACTTGGAGTCAAGGTAGTGTGTCACCATTCTATTGAGCAGTCCATCAGCCCTCTTTCTCTCAGCGTAGTCCGTCGACATTCCCGTAAGTAACACGGTTCCATGATATTTTTTTCCAAGATTTTTGATGACTCTCGCGGCAGATTACGTTGGCAACTGCTCGGTTTAACTGCTTGAATGAAAAACGCGTCACAGTAGGTTCTTACAAGGAATATCAACATTGGGAGCAACATGGTCTATCGTAGGTTTATAAAGCTCAAGTTGTCATGATCATGATTCTGCATATCTGTTCATGTTCCCTCTTTAAAACTACCAATGAGCGTTGTTCGTCGAAGGGTTCAGGTGGAATTTTAGGAGAGAAATGTTAGTTTGTTTTCGTTTACGTGATTTCTTGAACTGATTAGCATCGCGCTACGAAACAGTTGAAGCCATTGCCGGAAGAAAAACGTAAAGGGATTTCACGTTCTCGATCCAAAGTAGTTGGTTCGGGAATTTAATAACAATAGAGAGTTGTATGTGGCTCTTCTTCTCTAAAACGGAAGAGTAAAGTTGATGTAAGATACTTGCTTAATTACCTCGGGCAATTGAACATTGAATATCGTACATTAGCCCCAGTATCTCTCTCTGCTGGTTTTTGACACGTGTATGTGTTTTCACCTAATTTCATTTTTACAGGCAAAAGGCTTACCTTATACCTCTAAATCGAAGAATTTCATTAAAGCATGAACTCGACTCTCCCTGAAGCAGATCTGGGTTTCGTCATTTCTTTCTCTGTTGTGGTTGTAATAAATCTCCTTGGAAACGGACTGGTCTGCCTTGTTGTCTTCCGATTCCATGGTATGCGAGCACCGGTGAATTACCTTCTCGTCAACTTATCTGTTTCAGATATGATGGTAGCGCTATTTATCATTCCAGACTACATTGTTAACTGTGCTTTTCGACACCCTGAGGGTGACATAGGCGACTATTTCTGCATATGGCTTACTGGTGGCAACCTCATTTGGGTTGGAATGGCAGCATCCACTTCTTCATTAGTCGTAATGTCCTTTGAGCGTTATTTTGCAGTTATTTACCCCCTCGACAAACGCTGGCGCCTCACTAATCGACGATTGGCTATTTCTACCATCACTGGCTGGCTTTATGCAATTATTTTCAACTTGCCATTGTTTTTCGTTGTTAGGCATCAGGATGGAAAGGTACACTGTACAGAAGTTTGGTCAAATCACGAGACATTACGTGAAATGTACGCACTCGGGTGTCTTTTTGGCTTTGGTTTGATTCCAATGGCAATTATTGTATATGTTTATTTTAGGATTCTACTTAAGCTATGGAAGGGAAGAGGTGTTCGAGCTACTTTAATCTCGGACCAAAAGCGAATCCGAGCTATTCGTAAAGTGACCAAAATGGCTGTAGTCGTAACGATTGTGTACGGGGTCTGTCGGTTGCCAAATTTGGTGCTATACGCGTTGCAACCGTTTGAGTCGACTTACGACTATGACTCGCCGTCTTACATTAGCACAGTACTGCTTGTGGGCCTCAACTCTGCCATGAATCCTTTTATTTACGCACTTCATAGTGCTAACTTCCGCCATCACATCAAGTTGGCTCTTCGCTGCAGTCAATTCCGGCCAGCGGATTATGTCCCAGTCCCACCGTAGGACTGTAAGGAAAACTTCCAAGGTCTTAATTCTTCAGTCCAGTTGGTTAGTGGTGTATCAAGAGCCATGGCTCTTGGGTGTATCGATTTATTCTTTTTTCGCTTGTAATTTGTTTGCCTACATTACCATTTGCGTCTGTTAAACTACAACTCAGTGACTGACTGTCAATATTGGAGAAATAGCGAGTGGCGAATGAACTGCGTAAGTACGGAAGCATTTTCGAGCAACCATGAATCGAGGATGACTTATCAGTTCTTTACTACACGACTCGGGCAGTCAGAGGGCCAATAATTAAAATCAACCGGTCAAAATGCCCTATTGCCGGTCAATATTCTCTCAGTATTGGACCGGGCACTGTCCCGAATGGTCCCGAATGATACAGCACCTGTGTCCCTTTGAACTTCAGTCGTATAATAAATCTCTTATTAGCCAAGCTTGCTCGGGACCGTACTGGAAGAATATCGGCCCTCGGTCTTTTTTGTACGGACCTCGCTGCGCTCGGTCCGTACTGTCAAGACCTCGGGCCGATATTCTCCATGTACGGCCCTCGCGCTTTGTTCATAAGATATATTTATATATTGAGTATTTTTTTTACTTTTGTGTCATTTATAAGATGTTAGATGTTGTATGCAACAAGTAACGTCGCGAAAGAGTGTGCAACATGCTTTCAAAGTAACACATTTTCATTAAAGTTTTATTTTTGCCGCAAGGAAACGCTTTTATCTTCACGATTGAACCATTTTCCATCCTCAAGTTAACCATTTTACTCTCATGAGTGACCAAGAGAGAATTTCTCCTTACAATATCAATACAATATGAAGCAGACAAGTGATGAGAATAAAGGGAGATATCTCTTAGGGGATCTTTATTTGATCTGATACCAAATTCTCTGAACTAACATAAGAATTGTAAAGCAGACAGTAAAGAGAATTTCTAACGAGATCTTGGAGTGCAACGGTTGAATTTATAAGGGTATTGACAAGAAAATTGTGATTCCTGTCGCTTCAGCTCGAGATATGATATTTGTTCAGGCAGATTCATTCTTTTGAGCATGCCTGTAAAAAATACATGGGACGGTTTAGGAGTGCTCGTG